CAAGACTCAGCCCTTTCTTGTAAAGTACTTTAAGATCCAGGGACAAAATGCATCATAAGAGCACCAACATGCAAATGATGACAAGTGATTTTTTTCCCCAGGAATGACTAGTTGATTGCTCATCGGTAAAACATTAGGCCAGAGAAAGAGTAACCCCAGGTTCTCCTATATGCAGAATGGGTCATAACAGAAACAGTGACATACCGAAGGGGAGTAAAGAAAGAACTGGGGAAACTCAGAGATGATGCAGGATGACAGTGACTTCTCAGTGCCTTGGTTCATCTGTCAACTTTGTTACTCCTGACCCACATAGATCTAGGAGAGCCAGACAGTCAGCTACAGTCTGGAAAGACCAGCTCCATGCTGTGTTTGGCCCAGCCATGTGTTTCTGCCATTTAGCCTAAAGATAGGTGGTCAAAGTACTAAGGAGCTCAAACACAGTGAGCTAACCTGATCCCTAGGCAATAAGTGGTTTCCCAGATTTCAGCTGTGTCCCTGAAATTTTCCAGGTGCCCTTCTGCCTTTGAATATAGTGTGTGACTTGTCCCTTGTGCATTCAGCTTCCCAAAAGACTTATTTGCTATCCAAGTGAATATGTTTAGAGCACAAGACAGAATTCTATGATTCTATGGTAAGATCATGCACTGTGCATGCAGAGCCCAGTCAGGTTGCATCATCTCCAAATCCTCAGTCTTCCACTTCTCCCAATTCATGCCCTAGTACCTTAAAAATAATTGCACTTCCAGTGATTGTAGTAGCAGCATTCACTGACCACCCTTAACTTCATCTTGAACTCACAATCTCTGCCAGGGAGCCACATATCAGGCAAATACAATTCCCTTGCAACCTGAGAGACTTGCAGACATCTAAGACCTGACTGCATAGCTTACAGGGCTCATGGGACCTGCCTAGGGGTGCACTCCCCTAGCTCTCTGGACATCAGCAGCCTGCATTGGTCACTGTTCCTCTTCAATACCTCCAATTGTGCTAGTTGAAACAGTGCTGCTCCTTCTTGTTGGGGGCCTTGGGTAAAATCAAACCACCAGCTTTTTATAGGGGAGCCTGTTCAACACTAGAGACGCAATGAATTAGGGACGCCTGTCATCAGCCCACATGTTGTGTGGCTTCCCAGCTCTGCTGACACTCCTGCCTACGCTCCAGACAGCGCTCTGAACAAACAGCTCAGCCTGAAGCCTGCACTGGACTAAAACTAGGAGGTGATTCACAGGCCCCTCTTGGCCACCCTTTCACACCTTCTCCTCTTAAGAAGGCCATGCTCCTCTGTGACAACTTCTGCTGCTCTTCTCCAGCCCCCTTCTGTTTGCAGCAACTCTCCCGTGCCAAGGTAGATACATAGGCAGGGCCATAAGATTCACAGCAGCCATAAACCCCAGCTGGCTACAATACAGACCCCTAGATGATTTCTGGTGGCAGAGGGAAGCATCTGTACTCCTCCCACAGGGATGGCACAAGAAGCACCCCACCTCATCCCAGTGACCAGTCATTTCCCTTCAGCCCCCAACGTGCAGAACCCCAGGGAGTCTAGGCACTTGCAGAGGCATAAAATCAGCTGTGGACACTGCACCAGTGTGAATGTCCCCCAGCCTGGAGAGTTCTCCTGTGAAAACAGGCTGACAGTACAGAGGACACAGAGATGGGGGGGCATTGCACACGTGCTGGTTTGTCTCAGGCACTTGAGAACAGGATGACACTTGTGTCTCTTATCTCTCACTGCTATGCCTGTGCCACCCAGGCACTGGTAACACCTGCCACAGGTGCAGCAGGGAGCAAAGCTCAGTGCCTTACCCTCTCTTACTAATGGCATGGTCCTTTGGATGAAAAGCTGTAACCTGCTAGCCCAGGGACTGCCAGAGCAAGCCATGCTGCCAGGGACTTCCAGGGCATACCAAGCTCCTGGACAAACCCCACTCCTCATCGTCTCCTGTCTGTCGTGATTGTCCTAAGTTATCATCTCAAGTAACTCTGCCATAAGTACTGCAGCTGAATCTCCAACTTGCAAGTAAGCGGGACACCCCCAAAGTGAGCACAACCAGCACCCAGCACTCTTGAGATCCCTAAAGCTTCTCCTTCACTTTAGTGACTCTGGGCAGACACTGGCTCTAATCACAGCTTTTCCGCATTTGTAACAGGGAAAACCAGTGTGAGAAGCCCAGAGAGAAAGAGAGTGAAAAGCCACAGTCAGCCATGAGAGCAGCTGCAGCTTTTTAAAGTGATGAGTTACATACAGAGCAGAGTAACTCAAACCAAGGAGGCTTGAGAAACAACACACACAAACCAGCACTGAGCTGAGGTTAAAACAGCTTCACACTCACCCAAGCTGCTCCTCTGTCTTGTCGGCACTTAGAGCTTCTGAAGAGTCCAGGATGCCTTGACACCTCTCCTTGCTGAGGGCCTTGCTAGGTATCTCCTGGGTGGGGGACCCCCTCTCCCCCGAATCCGTGCTGCTTTGGCTGGGCACACTGCCGTCCCGCTGCTGCAGCGGCATCTGTTCCCGCCCCGCGGCCAGCTCTGCATCCACACCGTTCGCCAGCACCGGCCTGTCCTTACGGCCGCTCTTGCTGGCGGCATCTGTCCCCGGTCCCTGCTCACCCTGTCTCTCATCCAGCTCTGCTGTTGCTTCCAGATGTTTGTCCCCCTGGCCCCCGCGCTCCCCCTCCACTCCTCGGGAGGGTTGAGCATTGTCCTGGGGGCTGGCTCTCCTGCTGGCAGGCTCTGGAGGCTGGCTGAGCTGTTCGTCCCCATCGCTGCAGGCCAGCACAGCCGGCTGTGAGCCCGAGGAATGCAGCTCTTGGCGGTCTGCAGCAGACCATGGAAAGTGGCTGTTCTCACTCATATTCCGCTTGTTTTCCCAGCGTTTACCGGCTCCCTCCCCGCACTCAGCTCAAGCTCAGTACTACCTACAATGGAAAAGAAACGATGTCATGAGCGCCCATAAGGGCTGACAGAAAGGCGCAGACTTGTCAATAGCAACTCAGAAGAGCAGCAGTTTGAAACGGAGAACAGGAAAATGCCCCCCACCCTCTAAACCCCTCAATATAAAAGCCAGGAAGGACCATACTGGGGTTTGCTGCTTTTGCAAAGACTAGCTCTCGTTACCCAGCACAGTGAGGTCTGGAGAGGAAAATCTGCTGTTGCGGCCCTGAGCCATTAGGGGCCCAGGCACCCACCTTCTCCTGCTCCTCTCATAACCCACAGACAGTCCCAACCTGAAGTACAGGGGACCCATACCATGCGGGCTCTTGGTGCCTCAGCTGTGGCAGGCAGCTGCCCAGGGCTGGGGACAGGAACGTGGCATGGCTGCTTTTCCCAGGCTGGCTACCAGAGTGCTACTCCCAAGTACTCCCTGCCTGCCAGAAATAGAAGAAATAGGGAAAATAGGAGATAGGTGTGAATTTTTTTTAAACACTTCTAAGCAGTTGTGATGTGCCAACCTGTGTGATTCTCCCTGCTGACTTTGCATTTCTGCAGAGCTTCTTGCCTGCTAGAGTAACACTTTTCTTTTCCTGACACACAAGCACTGCTGAAGGGTGTCATAAGTTGCCAGCTAAGACTCTGGCAAAAGTGTCCTTATTGAATATACCCTGAGATGCTCTCTCTGTAGGGCAAGGGAAGGATGCTGTGTTGCATCAAATGAGACAAGTGGCTTTTTGATAAAAAGGCCCTTTATTGGTGAACATGCCTATCAATGCAAAGTGTGCCAGTCTTGCAAGCACCGTCCTGAGCCATGGGCTGTAGCCCCACAGTGCCGTGCAAGCTCTTCTCCATTGTAACCACTGCAGCTGCAGTCAAGTCACCATGGTGCTACCAGAAATTCTCTCTTCTGGAAGCGTCGGGCTCAGGCTGAGGCATGATAACAGCTGATTTTGTTTTAAAACAATATTTGTCTTCACCTGCACAGGAAGTATGGCTTATCAATTACAGCAGGCAGATGGGACCTCTGGGTTCTTCCCCTAATTCTGTTCCTACCTCACATCTCAAGTAGACCATTTAAACTCCATGCCTCAGCTTCCCTCTCTGTAAACCAGGGATTATACATCACCTCTGAGAAGCTGTGAGGGTGCTCAGATGTCAGCAATGGGCTCTTGGTCCTCTGACTTGCTGAGCTGCAGCTCACATTAGCAGTAAAATCATTAATTGCTTGTCTAGTGCAGGACTCTACTAGTTCTTGGTAAAAGAGGTACTGGGCTGCAGCTGCCTCTGCTCTTACAACCCCTCACCTTGTGGAGGTCATGGAGATGTCAGCAGCCTCCCCCCTGCTGCTGATTCCTCTGCACCTGGTCAAGGAGCAAGGGAGAGGTGGGATTCAACCCTAAACACCCCCTATGGTCTGGGTACGGACAGATCCACACGGGTACATGCTGAGCTGCTGGCTGAGCAGGACAGATCCCGAGGGGAACCCCAATCCCAGCCTGACTTTGCTCCAGTCCCACAGCCCAGGCAATCTTGGACCCAGGATGTGACCCTCTGTCCGTGTCCTGCTCCCCACAGCTGGGAGATGTGGTGGGCCAGGTAGTTCATAGCCTCACATGGGATGGGTTTGGGGAGAAATGCTCCTCAAGGGCTGCACGTGAGATGTGAGATGGGGCAGGTCCCTCCTCGAGGCAATGCTGGCAGTTTTACCTGTTCTCCACGTACATCCGTGTGCATCCCCCGCTGTCACAGAGCACGCAGCATCCCCGCACCTATCGCACTAGGCACAGTCAGGTGCTTCTGACAAACGCACGATCCCTGCCTGTAAAAAGGGATCAGAGAAAGTGAGACCTACGTCAGAGAGAAGAACCCCGCTGATCTCCTGCCACCCTGCCGCTGCTCCGTTTCAGGCTATTTCCCACACCCACCCCATGGCCCGTTCTTTGCAGAGCACTGCAAAAGTGGTCTTCCCTTTGCACACTCTGGTCCTCCCTGGGTTTCAGCCATGGCAGTGCAACCGCCAAGTGCAGCAGTAATCCTTAGAAAGGGCTTCTGACTTCTTTCTTTATGAAGTCCCCCCTGACCAATTAAAGCAGAGCAAAGGGACTATGTGGTTGCAGGTTTCAGGAATAACTTGGCAATGAGCCCACTGAATGTCCAGTTTCATCCACTAGATCCATAGAGGGATACACCTGTGTTGCAACTGTAAACAAATCTGAACTATCAAAATCATTGATGTAGCGACATTTCCTTGCAGAGTGTATTGTAAAATGCAGACTGGCAAGGGGACAGTGATGCCTCTCCATGAGGTGACTCCAGGCTGAAGGAGCATGTCTGGTCACCATATTTTGTGTGTCATCTACAGAAAACTGCCTGAGCTAGCAGGTCAGGTTTACTATAGAGTTGATGGAGACAGACAGACAGGGCACCATTGCCTGTGTGCTGGTAGAGGTCTACCTCAGGCTGGGTGGATCAGGCCCTAGATGTGCCACCTGCTTTCCAATGGCTGGAAAGAGCCCATTGGCAGCAGATACCTGTGTCAAGTCCCTGTGGAGGGATCTGCTCATACCCTCAAGAGAGGGCCCCAAGAGGGCTTGCTCCTGCAGGCCTTCAACCTCTCTCTCAGCCAGCCTGCCTTTCCCTGACAAGAGAAAGGCCAGACTAGACTTCCTGGGACACCAGCACATCAGCCTCCTCTGGCCCAGCATCCAACCAACAGGAGCTGAGCCCTCCCAAGTGAGGTCAAGACAAGACCCTGGGACAGTCCTCAGTTTCCTCTTGCTTGTTCTTCTGTCATCCCAAATGAAGAGAGGAAAGACCTGCAAATCTCTTTCCCACCAAATCCAGGACAGAAAATCAGCCCCAGGCACTTGGTCTTCCCATGCACCGACAGCAGGGCCAAACCAATGCAACATCTTCATGGAATTTACCTGCAAAACTACCAAGACTCTCCTGAGCATGACCACACTGTAATCTCGAGTAATACTGAAAACCTAACATCATCCAAATTTTTACTTTCCCATAGTGAAGGCATAATGCAGACATGCAACAGAGCCAATGATCAAATCGTTGGAGGAACCTTTCCAGCAAAGCTTTGCTGGCCTTTTTCTTAATGTGAGATGAATAACGTGGCTTTTTTGAGTCCAATTTTTTAAAACCAGCCAAAAGGTTTGGGCTGAAATTCACCACCTCCCTGCCATTCATCCAAAAACTCCAGTAGGAACCAGACACCACCCAAGCTAAATTCCAGTCAAATAGCTAAAGCTTGGCACAGCTATATGCAACCAGAAAACAGGAAGCTAAATGCAGTTAGGAGACGGGCCTGAGTAAGGAATGTTGGCAAACCTTAGTAATTGTGATGTCCCATCCATCCCTCCTAACTTTAACCAACTTATATTATTAATATTAAAAAAATTAACATTTCTGTTATTACGTGTAAACTGCTGCATTATGCCTACTCTGTTTTACCCTCTGTGAAGTCTAACTGGGACATTTATGGTCTGGAAGATGGGCTGAGCAGTCAATAGTTAAACTCTTAGGCATGCTCTTCTTTGGCCTGGGTTCCCACTGGAGAAGAGGCACTGGGGAAGCCCTGGGAGGATGCATGCACAGACTGTTGCTGAGCCAAGAAGACCATCAGCTCCCAGCTTCCAGTGTACTGGTCTGAGCAGAGCCAGGAGGAGAGATCTAGGCCTCTTGCAGCCTCCTGACCCCTCTGAGATTTGTATGTCTCCTGTTGGATCCCATACTCCATTGCACACACGGATGGAGGCTGTCATGTGCACCTGAATGCAGGTAAATAGAGCATATATCAACCCACGACAAATTACCCAACAAGTCACTAGCAGCTTGATTTATGCTTGCAGTGACAGTCACTTGAAGCACATCCAGGTTATAGGTGGGTGAGGCTCCCCAGAAGCTCCAGAGGAACTGAGAGGTTGGGTTGTAATGGGCCATGGCTCTGTTCCCAGCTGCTCATGGTGATGCCTTGTACTGAAGTCATGCAACTGACTCCTGCCACACTCAACCATGCAGCCTGGCCAGCGTATCCCACATTAGCTGCAGAGGGTCTCTCCCACTCTACAACCCCATGAGACAGCCATATATGGTAGGGTTCATCTGTGAACTGTTGCCTTCCCCAGCTGTGTGAGGTAGGTACATGGGCAAAGGGAAGAGGAGACAGGCTGTGATGCCACAACTTGGACTCAAAAGAAGACAACCAAGGGTGGAGCAGCTGGTTGCAACTGTCCACATCTGCCTCCAGCAAATAGCTGGAAGATTACCAATGCTGGACAGAGTCCAAAGATGGACTCTTAACACCCTTCTTTTAGCTCTGAGAAAGCACTAAAGTGCAGCTCAGCCTCCGGCCCAAAGCAGTGACAGCTTCAACCAGGCAGTTGGGAGAGGACACACTGAAGAAGCTGGGGAAGAAGTGGGGCTGATATTCAGAGGTCCCCCTCTGGGGCTCCTTTCCATTGCCCCAAAGCAGTACAGCATGGCAGACAGAAGGCTGAGTTGGACTGCAGGCTGATATTCCCCATGTCCCTGCTTATTTCTTTTTGTTTCTGCTTTTCAAAGCGCTCTCCGGCACAGGTAAGGGCTGGAAGGTGACACCTGGGTTCCCACCAGTGGATTTTCATACGACCATAAGTCCTGCCCTTTCTGCAGGCTCAGGCATCCTCTCAAGTGACTGCTGCTTCCCTAGGTCCTGTGGATAGGGTGGGCATCCCATGCACATCCACTGCTCCCAGCCTCCAGCAAATGTAACATGGGTTAGCATACAAAAAAAGGGTCTGGCAAGAAAAGGGAATGACCTGGCATATGTCCTGGCCAGGAGTGTTCACACCGATGGCTACTGTGGCCCTGCTGAGTTGTAGAGAGTTGTTAAGCTCCAGTTCCATGATTTGAACCAGACCAGCTCTG